TCTCTCTCTCTCTCTCACACACACACACACACACACACACACATACACACACACATAAAATTAATTATTTGATGTTGTCATTCCATCCACAAGATGCCTCTTGCAGCGCGCACTGTACTGGTGACTGGTGCATCCCGTGGCCTTGGGCTGACCTTCGTCAAACAGCTGATCAAGCTTCCGTCTCCGCCCGAGGTTATCATAGCAACATGCCGTAATCCCAGCGGGGCGTCAGAGCTACAGGCTTTGTCCCAGGCCAACAGTTCAGTCAAGGTGGTGAAGCTGGACGTGGAGAAAGATGAGGACATTGAGGAATGTGTGAAGGTTGGTGTTGATATATTATATATACTAGGTGGACCCTTTTTCGATGAAAGGAAGGATCCCTGCATTAACTTTAACTGGAAGTCATTGGCCTACTATATTTACACTCTACTGGGATGGAGCAGCAAATCTTGAGAGATGCAAAAAAATTAGAAGGTCTAGATATAGAGATGTATAGATTGATTCTCTATTCCTCTTTCGTGGTTGTACACTCCAGAATTTCAAAGGTGCACACGGTTAGTGAATGGAAGCCTCACCTGTTCACAATGGCGTCTTAGAAGACGGACTTTCCCAAGATTAGATCTAAACGAAACTAATGATAAACTGAAAATTAAACTACAGTGACTTCAGGCGCCTCAGTAAAACTGTGCACCCCTTAAATGATTCTGAACCACCGTTAACTTTGTCAAATTCGAAAGTTAAGTGGGTGGGAAGTTTTAGGCGGCCAAAGTGACGAACTTTCACAATATACATGTAATATGTATAGATATATATAATATAGACCATAAGATATGTGTACATGTACAGTTGACTTGATCTATTTGTGCTGAACTCGTTTGCATGGAGTTGATCTTCCGTTGTTAAGTCAAAGAGGTTATAAATAGGACAGCCTCTTTAATTGGGTTAAGCTGGTCTTGTTTTATGGGTCGCAGCACCTCTTCATCTTTTCAAGTACAAGTCCCAGCAGTTAAATTGAACTTTGGATGGGTTGATCATTTTTTCACTCCCCGGACGACATCAACACATCCAAAGTCAACTGTATATATATTTATAATTATATATATACAATTATGCAGTCTCTCTATAACGACATCGTCGGGTCCAGAAAAAAATGTGGTGATAGAGAGTTGTCGTTATAGAAAGGCAACCTAAAGTTACTGGGTTTTTTTCTTTTTCTTTTGTCTTGTTATAATGGGGGTTTTTTGCCTTTGGTCTATTTTTTAACACTTTGCCATCATATTTTGGGGAAAATCCAAAGAAGCTGGGTGGTAAACATCGCCAATCACCGAGATGAGGCGGCAAAGTGTTAGTCTTTTTTTTTTGTCTTTGGTCTATTTTTAAAGTCTTTTTTTTTGTCTTCCACCAACAGACAACGACATCCGCAGTCGGGGAGAAAGGCCTCTCTCTACTCATCAACAACAGCGGCATCTTTGAACCTGTGGGCACTAAGTCCAGGGATGTGGATGTGAGCAAAGGCAAGGATGACCACGAGAAGGGACATCTGACGGTCACTAAGCTGTTTGGGGGAAGCCTTGAGGACCAATCACGTGCTCTGATGCAGAAGCATTTCAACGTGAATGTTACAAGTAAGATTTGTTTTGCTTTGTTACGATGCTTTTTCAGTCTCTCTAAAAGTTTCTGTTTTGTTCTAACTGAAATGATTGATGAATCAAAGACCTTTTTCCTTCGGCTTTTTACATAGAAGGTAAAAAAAAATTGCTTTTGTTTAAAATGTATGGTCATTTTAAAGAAGACAACATTTATTATTAATTACATTTTATCATCTCGCTATCATTAGATAGTTCTTGTGAATTGCTATTTCCGGGGTGCTTTGATAGTCGAAGCAGACTTTGTGCTGTTGAGGCTAGAGAGGTGAGCAGAGTAAGCCTGATTCCCTGTTTGGACTTCTATCTATGTTGACATTCACCCCTTGGTGCTCATGTGACCTCATGCAGTTGCACGGTTTATAAAACATTACTAAAATTTAATAACTAAACTAAGAGGCTTTTAAACTGCACCATGTCATCATCATCATCATCAATAATGCCTTTCCCCCCTGGCAGGGTATAGGCCACATACAAACTCCTTCCATTTGTCTCTGTCCTGGGCCATCCTTCCCAGCTTGTGCGCCATGTCATGCCATGTTGAAAAGATGAAGGCTTGAGCCAGAGCAACTTTTACAATTGGATGTTAATCAACTGCCTTGTTATAGATAAATGATATCTTTTGCAATTGTGTTTTTAAATTGCATGAAAATGTTTCCCAGAGAAGTAAATGAGAGTTGCAACTTTATTCGGAGTATGATTCATGTATGCGAGCAAATTCATGAACTATTCAATTTTGTATATGTGAGTTTTAATAAGGACAAAAATCATCTTAACTATCTTTCTATTTTAGGCCCAATCATTCTGGTTCAAAAGTTACTTCCCTTGTTAAAAAAGGCAGCGGCACAGAAGTCGAGTGATCCTCTCAGCTGTAGCCGTGCCGGTGTCGTCAACATCTCCGCTCTGCTAGCGTCACAGGACTTCACACAAAACTATAGGGGAGGAGTAAGCTTACACTATAAGTACGTCTGTTTCTTGTTTGGTCTGTGTGTATCTCATATATTTATAATACATATATGATGCATAGATGCAGAAGGGAGAAAAGATACATTTTACTTTCAGGGGAGGGGGCGAACCTCATTTAAGGGAGAAGGGGGGGGGCAGGCCAGGATTAATTTGTTGCAACTGGCCAGTCTTGGGTGCATCTGTTTATGCAGAAGTTAATGTGAACAGTAGAGATCACATGCAGTATTCTGAACAGACTGGGACAGAGCCACAGAATGTACATTCCAGCTAAGAGAGGTACCATTTAAATGGTACTTGTGCGTTCGACTGTCTACTGTGGTGTTTTTCAATTAGTCTCATGTGACTAACCACAATGTACCAGATACACTTCCGAGACGCTGCATTCAACCACAAAGCATGGGTGGTTGGCGGGTGCTCTAGTGTGGTTTGCTTTTCCTATCAAATATCTATCGTCCTTATCTCCCCTCCTTCTTTTTTGTGTTTGTTACTCTCTTGTAGCACCTCTAATCTTCGGCACTTATATGACCTTATTGTGTTGCAAGTGCCGTAAAACTCTTACTAAAGCTAATACAACCACAAAGCTGTCACAGAGAAATTTTATACTATCACTTTCACACCCTTACTTCTGTCATTTTATTCTTGGATGATTTCAACTTTCTTTTGAATGACTAAAAGTTAACATTATACTTGTAAACGCTAATGTCTTTATTTTTGTCTTAAATTTTTCTTTTTTTGGTTTCAGATGCTCTAAGACAGCTCTAAACATGGCGACCATTATGCTTGATCATGAGCTACGAGATGCTGGGATACTCGTGACGTCTATACATCCAGGCTGGGTGAAGACAGACATGGGCACTGATCTGGGTCATATGACTGCAGACGAGAGTATAGCTGCATGTCTGGACACCATGGCCAAAGCAGACGTGAAGTCAGCGGGAAAGATGCTAAACTTTGATGGAAATGTTCTTACATTCTGATTTTGTTACTGTTACTGAAACTGCTCCTTCCCCAATGCGAATGTGTTTCATGTATATATAATCAAGTCCTCAGAGTAAGACAAATTAGTCGTACATCATGTCCCTTTTCAAAATGCTGTACAGCAGAGTCTTAACATTAACCCTATCCGTACACCCTGGGGTCATTTTGTACCCCTGGGGTTGTATTTTTCACACTTTAGAATACTTCTAGTATGAAAATCTCTTTGAAACTTTCAGTATTTTTCAAAAAATCATTTTGACAGACTGCTAGATCTATGCAAAGCGTACGGATCAGATTAACGAGTAAATTTCCTCTTTGCAGTGGTGGCACAGTCCAGTTCCCCACGTCGTATGGGCTCAAGATAATGTTTCCTGCATAACCAGAAACAAGGCATGCATGTGTGAGACAATGAGGAACATATATATGCTCCTCAAATTTACCTATTTTCTTTTTTTACTTTGAACAAGCAACTATTATCTAAATTTATTGTATTGGGAATAGCTTTCCAACGCCCCTGTGTATATGTCAAAGCGGATTGATTGTATTTTTCAAATAAAAAAACCATTGAACGGTTTGACAGTTTTGTGAGTTGTTTTCTAATATATATACGTCTGAATTTGCTTATTAGTCTATTGTGTTGTGTTGTGTTGTGTATGTGTGTGTGTGTGAGTATGTGCGTGTGTGAGTTTGTGCGTGCGTGCATGCATGTGTGTGTGCATGCGTTCGTTCATGCATGCATGTGTATGTGTGTGTACGCGTGGTGCGTTAGCGTGCACCCGATCCGCATCAGATCAAGAAGTGTAATCTTTAGGATCTTTGCCTTCCTAGAGGCTCTGAGTTTGATTTCAAGGTGGCCAAGTTTACTTTGGCAAATATTCCATTTGGACGGTAAACATGGTCATTTTGTAAATCCCTTTGATTCGGAGTCCAAAGAATCGCAGACAGCTATGCCCCCCAAAAAATGGGTTGTGGGAAACTGAGTAATTTTTTACTTGTGGTATCACATTTCGATTTCTGTGTGTTAGTTGAATTCTAAATAACCGCCACTGAACAATTGTATATCTTTACATTCCTGACTATGGGCCTTTGACAATTAAAAATGTTTCATTATGAGGCCGCAATTTTAAGAAAGCGCGTAAGGGGGCTGGGGCGGAAGTTATGTGTTTGTGTGTGTGTGTGTGGGGGGGTTAATGTGTCTTAAATCCCTGGTTTTGAAATCCATGTTTTAAAGTCCCGTACGGATGGTGAGTAGGCCTACCTGGTGAGGTTGGGGTTTACTTGTGCAGTCCGAGAATTTATCGTTTTTTTCTTTCTTAACACAAAATTTTCGTATTTCAAATGAGGCCACACTCTCTCTGTATACTCATCGGGTTCATTGCAACTTGGCCTTGATCCGAGTACATGTAACTGAAATCTCTCTCTTTCTCTCTCTCTCTCTCTCTCTCTCTCTCTCTCTCTCTCTCTCTCTCTCTCTCTCTCTCTCTCTCTCCACCCCCCAACCCTTTAAAGAAAAAACAGGTCTGAAATCCTGACAACCATATATGCACATTAACGATCCATACATCATTAATTTTCATAAATATTCTTGTCCCATAAATTATTTTCTGAGTGAGCAATGTTAATTTCGTCCATGAATTGTGAAAAGTCTCACGTTAAGAAAAGAACCACAAGTTTGTTTTCAGCTTAATTCCCAGGAGGGACGTAGGCCTACAACCGCATAGGCTTGGATAAACAGATAGAGTTATTCAGTACAACCACAAGGTTCTTGTAAAATTTTAAACAGGTTTAAAAAAAAACAAATTGTATCTGCATGTAGGTTATAACACGAAAGCACACAGAAAAATGAATATATAAGCCAACTAAAACCGGAGAGCGTTATATAATGATCGATTTTTTTAAAGGGAATACGCCAGTAGGCCTACGACTAGTACAGTAATGGATTATTAAGGTGGGGAAATTTGGGTTACAATGAATGCCAAAAATACAAACAACTTTGTACGTCTTATTATTACTTGTAGAATTGAGAGCCACATTACACAATTAGATTGCACCAGATGTGTAAGTAAACCCTCTCTGATTACACCAATACAGAACAATTTTGTAAACTACAGGTCGCCATTGTAATTTATATTTATTATATATTTTCATTTTAAAACACCATATTGTTAGCACTGAGAACAGTACAGTCGACATGAGAGAGAGAGAGAGAGAGAGAGAGAGAGAGAGAGAGAGAGAGAGAGAGAGAACGGAACCATAGCCTATTGACATGTAAATTAAATATTATGCAGTTTGAGTGGTGGCAACGCATTGACCTCTTGGGGTACATAAAATTATGGGTCACTTTGAAAAAATACCTTTTCTCTCACATTTCCCGATCTCGTCGGAAACCCCGAGATTTAGCTATTCAACGAGAACACAGTGGTAGTTTCAATATCAAACGAAATTTCATAGAGGCAGTGTCCATTTGGAAAATGATCCATACTCACACGAAGCTGTAAATTCTAAACTTCAGAGGGCCTGTTCGGCCAAATTTCTTTCAAAATCTATAACGATGGGAGTTCCCAAATTTTACAGATGGATTAGTGAGAGGTACCCGTGCCTCAGCGAGGTTGTGAAGGAGTTCCAGGTGGGAAACTGCAACGATTCCAAGGATCTATTTTGAATCTGTTTATTGCAGGTGTTGTGCAACATTAAAACAAGGCTAGATCTAGATCTAGATCTAGATCCTGTATCTACATCCAGCGCAGGACCACCTTTTTCAGATTAAATTTCAGGAGAAATTCCACATGATTCACTTTTACCACTAGAATCTATGTTTCTAAAACAGTTTAGAAGCACGGCCCTCTTACTTTTGTAGGCTACATTAGTTTAGTTTAGCCGGAAGGACTTCCGTAACGAGCGACCACCCCATCAAACACAATAAAGAAGAGGCCTAACCCAAACCCTAACCCTAACCCAAACCCAAACCCTACCCCATACCCCTACCCCTAGATCTACCCCTACCCCTAGCCGTCAATTCTCATGGGTCTCAATAGTCCGCTATTTAGCGGATTTCTGCTACCGCCATCCCCTCCGCTAAACTCTGCTACTGCTGCAACAGCGGGCCAATCAGAAAGAGAGTTATTGGGAGCAGGGTGACTGCCAGGCCCCGAGAATTAAAAAAAAATCGCAGAGACACGGGAAAATACATGATAAAAGATCTGAAATATTTGAAAACCATTTCCAATAACGTCTTCAAGTTCATTTCTGCCGGTCGCGATTGTGATATTAATAATTAATTTGGCTCTGAGAGTACGTTTCACGCGAACTGGCGGCTTTGACAGCAAGCGGAATTGTGTCACCAAGGCTCGACTGACTGGAAAATCAAGATCTACTTTCGCTTTCGTTACCACCCAGAAATTTGTCAGTAATTGTCTGATAATGCAACATTCATTGTAACATGCAGGCTCGGCATTACAAACGTGGTGTGGCCATGACAATAAATCAATACCGGTATTTGTCACTGTGCTGTCACTTGTGGGGGGGGCAACAAAAAAAAAAAAAAGAAAAGAAAGTTATACAAGCGTCTTGTTGGGGTCGCTTTTGTGACCGGTCAATGAACCTCCGCGCGTTCTGAGCGCTGCGAAGTACATCATGTACAGGACTCAGGTAAGGGGGGAGATTATTGATAGGGGGAGGGCTGGACGCAACACCAGAGGGAAAAAAAACTGAAACTGGAAATAAATGTTTAATGTAGTATAGAATTTTGATTACTACTTCAGCTCTCTGCAAACTGCAAAGTAAATTGTGCGTTGTTGCAGGCCTTGTGTGAAATCGAGAGCCGTCATAACTTGTAAGAAGCGTGTTATGGAACTTAAGGGTCTAAGTGTTCGTGTTTCATTGGGTTGGTGACATTAAATTAGATCTCTATATTTTAGCTTTCTGTTCAAGATTCGCAGATTTTCAGTATCACTGCATCTTGCCCTCCCGCAGTTCTTACACCTCTCACACTGAATAGGTCTACTTGGGCTATTCTACGTGTACTCTACTTTGAGTTTGAGTATATTAATTTTTGTCATTCACATTTATTATATAGGCCTATATATAACATGAATCATGACAGTCGATGTTCTGATTTAAACAGGCGAATATGATGAAAGGAAAATGTAAATAAGTCGCACTAGACTCCAGGCGCCACCACTTTCTGTACGTAATCAAGATTGTAAATATTAAAAATTTGGTACGTGACTCTACTTGAAATTATCTCCCAAACTCTCAAATTTTTGTGAAATAACATTGCTTTGATAAATTGATGGTTTTTATTTCAGCATTCTAGGGTTCAACAGTATAATAATAATGGGTGTTTCGCGAAAATGGGCTTCTGTGGCGATCACCCGGAAAGTTCCTCCTTTTTTAGAATTCTGAGTTGAGACCCATGATTCTGATCTGTCTCATAGTGGTCGCTTGTTACGGAAGTCCTCTCGTTTAGCCAGTTTAGCGGGGAGCCTCTCATCATGACCATGGTCCATGTCATTCATCATTCATGGTCTCATTCATCGAATCATGGCATTTCCCCCCCTACGTACAGCACGGCTCTCTAATGTATAGATCTAGATTAAGATCTAATTTTAAAAGTATGCTCACGGCCTTGATAATCGCTCAACTGGACGGCTTGACTATCGTTCGATGTCTTGGCCAAGAGACGCTCTAGGAGGTCAAGATAACTTGCTAAGTCATTGGTCTCTATAAAATAAAATAGGCTAGGCCTACAGGTAGGCTATCATTATCTCGTCCCATTTGCGGCCAAAGTAACCACTCTTCAGTCCAAAAGACGTTGTCTGTCTTCATTTGCATTGTTGTCTTGCTCCTGATTTTTAATATTTCCTAGCTCTGTACTTTAATCCTTTTTGTTCCTCTTGTGTGTTTAATTTAATATTTCTGCCTATCCGTGGCTGTGTCTTGGACTTGGTTTGTGTCATCTTGCCTTTTCTACTCTCACATATTGATGCTCTTAGAAAGGTTTGTTCTTCTTGTCGTTATAAGTTTGTTCCTTTTGTCGTTATTTCAGTTACCAGAGTTTGACAACCTGTACCTGGACATGAATGGCATCGTTCACGTATGCTCGCATCCTGATGATGAAAATCCTCATTTCCGCATCACGGAGGAACAGATTTTCAAAGACATTTGTCATTACATTGATGTAAGATCAAACAGCTTCTGCTGTTGTTGTGTTCTCTGTTTTTATTTTCACTCTCAATATGTCACACTTGTGATATAAACTTTTTTTGTGGGTGGTTTGCAGGTGGTCTGGTGTGATTTGCTCTTTCTTTCCTATCAGACATCTTTCTTCCTGATCTCTCCTTTTTCTTTTTTATGTTTGTTCTCTTGTAACATTACTAATCTTTGGCACTTATGACCTTATTTATTGCATTGCAAGTGCCGTAAAACTCTTACTAAAACTAAAACTAAACTGTTTTTAATGTTTACACTGTGACTTTTTAAATGGAGCATAAAACTGGATTACAATTTTTAAAGTTTTGTGGTACACTGTTTTTAAATGGAGCATAAAAATTGGATTTTAAGATTTTCTTCAGTTTTGTCGCACACTGTGTTTTTAAATGATTAAATGGAACTTGAAAATTCTTCTGTTTTCTTTCGCTTCATCTTCTGATACATGATATTTACGCTGCCCACAGTTTCTGTTTCGCATGATAAAACCAAGAAAGGTGTTCTACATGGCTGTGGATGGCGTAGCTCCCCGAGCCAAGATGAACCAGCAGAGAGGACGTAGATTCAAGTGTGTATTTACATGTTTACATAAATTTATATCTAATTATGTAGTGCTTGGTGAAGCCCACGCGAGATGCTCACTTTTAAAAACAATCAGGAAACGACAAATAAATGCAGTTTTTGGGACGCCTGAATAGACATTATAAGGGTCTTCTAGCTCTCACTGGCAAAATTGAAGACAAATGAGGCAGGTGTAGGCCCAGAGGAACCAAAACAAATGGGTAACGGGGAACGATCAGGGAAACATTGCTTTTTTAAGAGCATCTGAGCAAAGGAATGAATAGAGAACCATGATCACAGATATCTGTCGCAGATCTGGCACTGGATGATGATGATGATGATTTACATGTTGGGGAATGTGTGATCATTTTCACTTCTCTGGCACGGACTCTAGGCCTCCACGTCCACAAACAGATTTTGGCAACTGAACGTAACAACGTCAACACCCTGATTGAAAACAACAAGAGACAATTCTATCTTAACAAATTTCAAAATGTAAACTCCTGCAAGGAACTTTTTCGATTATCTGATCAATTATTGGGAAGGGAGAATTGTACACGGTTTCCACCTGGAACTGATAAAGAACTTTGTTGTAATTTTCTGCACTTTTTCAATGATAAAATTGAAAGAATAAGAACTGATTTAGACTCTGATATGTTAGATGTAAATACAAATATAGTTGTTGATGAAAATCTTGCAATTATGAACAAATCAACATTGAGTGAATTTAAAGTGGTATCAGAGAAAGATGTCATTAAGTATATCAAAGAGTCCCCCGCTAAAACATGCGACTTAGACCCAATACCCACTTCATTGTTAGTTACGTGCATCGAAGATCTTGCACCATATGTTACTCGTTTTATTAATATGTCACTCACCACTGGAGTCGTACCTGATCTTTTCAAACAAGCCATTGTAAAACCTTTACTTAAAAAACAAGGTCTTGATGAAAACGACATGAGAAATTTTAGGCCAGTTTCCAATCTAAACTTTTTATCAAAAATCCTGGAGAAAATCGTTTTGTGTCAAGTTCAACAACATCTAAAGGCCAATGACATGGAAGAACCTTTTCAATCTGCTTATAAAGGGCACCACAGTACGGAAACCGCTCTTTTAAAGGTATCATCAGATGTTTTAAATTAAATCGATAATAAAAAGTCTGTGTTTTGGTTCTGCTTGATTTGTCAGCGGCGTTCGATACCATCGACTACGAAATTTTACTAGAGAGATTGGAAAAGTCATTTTTACTATCAGGTACTGTTCTAATGTGGTTTAAATCATATCTAGACAATAGATTTATGTCAGTGAAAATTGGCAATGATATGTCAGATAGGTTACCTCTAAAATACGGAGTTCCTCAGGGTTCGGTCCTTGGTCCTGTCATCTTTACAGTGTACACGCAAAGTCTGTCATCAATAATTTCTTTATATGCCCTCAATTACCATCTTTATGCAGACGATACACAGCTGTATGGATTCACTACAACTGACAATGTACACAATCTCATAGATAGAATCGCCAGATGTATCAATGATATAAGAAAATGGATGTTCAAGAACAAATTAAAATTAAATGAGGATAAGACCGAAATATTATTTCTTCGTAGCAGCGCATGCAATGAAATCGACAATATCAGAATAAACATCAATGGCCACGAAGTATCAGCCCAAACTAAAATAAGAAATTTAGGTGTGATGCTAGATCAAGGTATGTCAGTGAAATACCATGTATCCAATCTTTGTAAAAATCTATATCTCCAGCTGAAGAAAATAGGGAGCATTAGAAAATATCTATCTGTTGGTGTCACCAAAACTTTAATAACATCACTTATATTGTCAAGGATTGATTATTGCAATTCCTTACTGGCTGGTGTACCTGATGAACAGTTACAACAACTACAAAGAGTACAAAATATTGCTGCCAAAATAATTACTAAAAAACTAAAGCATGATCATGTGACTCCTATTTTAAAAGCATTACACTGGCTCCCAGTGAAAGAGCTTTTAATATATAAAATCTGTTTAACTTGCTACAAGTGCTTAAATGATTTATCACCGGACTATCTAAAACAGCTTTTAACACCCTATGTGCCTCCTAGAACGCTCAGATCATCTAGTGACAAAACAACCCTTGTTAAGCCTAAAATAAATTACAAATCATATGGCCAACGCTCTTTTTCATATTTTGCCCCACTTGTTTGGAATGGGCTTCCAAAAACTATCAGAGAAGCAGAAAATCTGGAAATTTTTAAGAAGAAACTAAAATCATTTCTATTTTCATCATATTTCGATTAGACAGAATGCATCCAAGCTGTAGATCGTTGTGAGTTTGTATGTGCGTATGTGCATATGTATGTTTGTGTGTATGTGAGTATGTATATGTGTGTGGTGCGTGCGTGAGTGAATATGTGTTTGCATGAGTATGTAACACTATGTACCTTTAAAATTGATTTGTAAATCCATTATATGTATCATGTTAAGCGCATAGAGCATTGCATAAGTGGATATGCGCTATATAAATGCAATCCATTATTATATATCTTGAGTATGTTGAATAAGCATTTGCTGTGGTAGAATAGAGTCTGAACATTGTTGCAATGATCAGTGTCAATCTATTTCTCCTGGTACTTGAAAGTCTGAACTAGGTTTACAGCTTGTTTACTCCACTAGGTGTTAAAAAAATGTAAATCGTTTCCTGCATTCCTTTTTTATTTTGAAATCCTTTTTTATTCTTTAAGTTTTGCTCAGTTGTGTTGTGTTTTTGTCTCTGTTGTTTTATCGTGTGTGTGTTGTTCTTTTTTTCTTTTTCTTTTTTTTTTTGGTGGGGTGGGGTTACTGTTAATTAATGGTTTAAATAGCAGATTGTCCACTCAGAAATTTGTACTTTGTGCCTAAGTTGAAAGCTCTCGGTTTATAATAAAGATGATAGGTTCATATGAAGGCATCTGTTTATGAGATACTAATAATAATAGTAATGATAAATGACTTTTATATAGCGCTCAGCCCCGGTTAAAGTACACAGGCTCTGAGCGCTTTACAATACAGTACAATGTACAACAGTAACATATTGTGTTCTGACTAAAAGATAATTAAATGTCTGTCTGTTGAGGCATGCTGATTTTTTTTGTTCGCGAAAAGACAAAGTGTGTTTGAACTTACATATCATGTTTCATGTAAAAATGTAATGTAGAGTTTATTTCCCTACTAGCCATTTGAACTGGTTTGGTTTTCAGATCTGCAAGAGAAGCAGAAAACCTCATTGAACAAGCCAAAGGAAGAGGAGAAGTCCTCCCCACGGAAAAACGATTTGATTCCAACTGCATCACACCAGGTGAGTGGGTGGTTGGCGGGTGCTCTGGTGTGGTTTGCTCCTTCTTTCCTATCAAACGACTATCGTCTTTATAAATCTCTCCTCCTTCTTTTTTGTGTTTGTTACTCTCTTGTAAAGTGAATGTCTCTCATAGATCTGAATGATGCTCATTGTTTCCTAGGATGGAACATGAGGGGGGGGGGTGGCATTGTATCGTTTTTGCATTACATGGTGCCTTCCTCTTATTTCGAGATTGATTTTTCACAGCTCTTTTGAATACCTTTTGTGCATCGATTTTTACACTTTTTTAAAATCGCATCCTCAGGTACTCCTTTCATGGTGAGGTTACAAGACCATTTGAAATATTTTGTCGTGGACAAGATCACAAACGATCCTCTGTGGCAAGGACCAGAGATTTACCTGTCCGGCCATGAGGTGTGTTACCTGTAACAGATTTCTTCGTGTATGTCGGGGATAGCATTCAGGGTTCAAGATGAATTGTGGGTGGGAGGAGATTGCTTGTGGGTGGTTGGTGGGTGCTCTGGTGTGGTTTGCTTCTTTTTTCCTATCAAACATATATCGTCCTTATCTCCCCTCCTTCTTTTTTATGTTTGTTACTCTCTTGTAACACCTCTAATCTTCTGGCGCTCATATGACCTTATGCAGTTGTGAATTCCGTAAGACCCCAACTGAAACAAAAAACGGAGATTGCTTATTTCTTCTCCGCTTTCCTTTCAAGTATTTATTGTGCAGCTTTTTCAGATGGAATGTTCGTTCATGTTGTTTTGTGATATTTTATTTATGACCAGTACGGCTTTAAAATAGCCGAATCCAATTGCAAGTTGACTTTCAATTTGTTTTTGGCTGTTTAAGTGTTCGAATACACCGTCAGTTAATATGGATGCAAATGGTAACGAGCATCATGAGGAAACCTATGAACTGGGAGGGGTGGAAGAAGCCGATGGGATGGGTGAAGGTGATTCAGGACTTTGGGGTCAGTCCCCTTTGCTTTGAATGAGATGCACGGCAATTCCTTCGTGGGTTCTTTGAGCATTTTACCTATGGGGTGCCTCTGTTCCTGAAATTTCCACCTTTTTGTCTCTTTTATGAGAATTTGGGATTCCCGCATTGAACTTTCGTCTGTTCTGATCCATAATGTCTGTCCACGTAGTCTCTTTAGTTCTGAAAAACCTTGTCAGACCTTTATTTGTGGGTGGTTGGCGGATGCTCTTGTGTGGTTTGCTCCTTCTTTCTTATCGGACATCTATCATCCAGATCTCTCCTCCTTTTTTGTGTTTGTTACTCTCTTGTAACACCTCTAATCTTCGGCACTTATATGACCTTATTGTGTTGCAAGTGCCGTAAAATTCTTAATACTAGAACGAAGTTTTGTAGTGTCTGTAACATCATGTGTATCATCCTCGTGGTTCCAAAGTTTCTGTGTGGTTGGCGGGTGCTTTGGTGTGGTTTGCTCCTTCTTTCCTATCAAACACCTATCGTCTTTATCTCCCCTCCTTCTTTTTCGTGCTTGTTACTCTCTTGTAACACCTCTAATCTTCGGCACTTAAATGACCTTATTTTGTTGCAAGTGCCGTAAAACACTTACTAAAACTAACCAATGTTTCTGCAGACTCCCGGTGAGGGGGAGCACAAAGTGATGGACTTTATCCGCTACTCCAAGAGCCAGCCGGGCTACGACCCCGACACAAGACACTGTCTCTATGGTCTGGATGCCGATCTTGTAAGTCTTTACTACAAGTTTTATTTCTGTAAAGATTGTGGTAAAAATACTGCTGCCTCCCCCCCCCCCATCCCATTTGGAATATGCTTGACCCGTAGTGCAAATTTTAACACTTTGCAATCTCACAGCCAGCAGTACAAAATACCCCATCTGGTCACCCAGCCAGGAGAGTGACTGCAACTGACTTACCAGGCCAGGCGCAGAACTGCTCCAGGTGACCGGCCGGAATGGATAATTTTCACCAGCGCATTATTACGCCAAGTTACCGAAAAGTGTTAAGTCACAGAGGGGTTGCAGTTATGTCCAAAAGAAACAGAAAATGGCTGGCTTTGAATGTTGTGATGTCTGAAGGCATTGAGGGTGGGGGGTGTTACTTTACTTCAACTAAGATTCACATGGTTGAATAAGGCATTGCTGCATTGAACTGTTTCATTTTTTGTTGTTTTTTTTGCCATTTTAGATTTGACCAAAGAATTTATTGCTCTTTGAGTTATCTCAGCTAGTAGATTCCACTCTTTTTATTGAAACTTGATTCCAGGAAACACAGCGTTGTGAATGTGCTCGTGTAAACAACTGATATGTGGGTGGTTGGCAGGTGCTCTGATGTGTTTGCTCCTTCTTTCCTATAAAAAGCAATCTTTGTGTTTGTTACTCTCTTGTAACACCTCTGATCTTCCGCACTTCTATGACCTTATTGTGTTCCAAGTGCCGTAAAACTCTTACTAAAACAAAAGGAACAACTGATGTTTATTGTGGCATATATATAGACTATTCACATATTTTGGTGTATTTTTGTGCCCATAGATCATGCTTGGTTTGACCAGTCACGAACCACATTTCTCGCTGCTCCGAGAAGAAGTTCGCTTTGGTGGGAAGAAGGACAAGAACAATAAGAGGTACAACTGTAAATGGGACAAAAAGTCTCTGTGTAAAACGTACCTATAATGGTCTTGAGTGCATGGTATTATGGGCTTTTTGAAAAGCTATGCAGTATTACTCAGATTTTGATTTTCATACATTTTAGCCGTCATGCCACGTTTTACTCATGTGTTTTATTCGTTTGACTGCTGTGACTACTCCATTTTAGTGATAGGAAGGACATCAGTATAATTATTGCCACAGAATGATGAGGTTGTTGGGACTGGCGTCTGTGATGTAATAGATGTTAGGCACTTTTCCTTAGCACTCAAGAGACATGGGTTCAATTCCCGCTTGGGGAAGCTTTTTATTGAATATTCCATCTGCTGTCCCCTGGGACGCTACGTCCATCCCAACGTAGTTTGGCCCTGACTGATAGCCTTGAAACAGCCCACTTCTGCTAGGATCTAAATTGTGTCGACGGGGGCCGTAAAAAACACCTCAGTTACTATATATATTATATTTTACCGTGGTAGTCAAGCTGACGAAGAGAAATTGTCGACTGTCTTTAATAGAAATGAAGAACATCCGAAAAGTGTTTTCCTACTGCCTGCTTCGACGTGTGAAAGTTTGTGTGGCTGTCTTATTTAACTTTTGTTTCTTTCGCTAAATTGCATGATAATATGTTTTGTATGCAACAGCAGCAATAAAAGAAATTTTGGATTTTCGACTGGGGAAAAAGGCAAAGCAAATGCTGCTTTATTATTGAAGTGACCATCTCAGCATAGGTACAGTATCAAAAGTTCCCCAGTAAATTGGGGGGGTCTCGATAGTTTTTTACACTCGCCATTGATACTGGTGCACGTTGAGGTCTGGGTGTCTTACTTTTTCCTCCGGAGGACGAGAATTTTGCCCCGGTGGCTTTGGTGTTGTGGTTAGGTTGTTGGCTGTCACACGCGATAGCGTGGGTGGTTGGCGGGTGCTCTGGTGTGGTTTGCTCCTTCTTTCTTATCAAGCATCTGTCGTCCTGATCTCTCCTCCTTCTTTTTTGTGTTTGTTACTCGCTTGTAGCACCTCTAATCTTCAGCACTTATATGACCTTATTGTGTTGCAAGTGCCGTAAAACTCTGACTAAAACTAAAACGCGATAGCCCAAGTTTCATTCCTGAGTGAGAAGCACATCTTTGTCGAGTATCTCCGTCTTTTTGCGGCAGGGCTGTACGCGTCTCACGGAGGGTTGGCCCCAACTGCAGAGTCGGAAGCGCATCATTTTCTAAATGGTCTAACTTGTATCAATGAAAGCGTAAAAATACCTACACGTAAAATAATTTTTTTAAAAAGAGTTTTGTTGTGTATTTATGCTGTTAGATGGAACTAGGCTATGGCTTAATTGTTCTTACAAATTTATATGCATTCTCGATTGAACTTGTTGCAGACCTACAACACCAGAGGAGACTACTTTTCATCTTCTCCACTTGTCGTTGCTAAGAGACTACCTTGCTTATGAGTTCTCCTCACTAAAAGTAAGTCATTGTTGTTATTGGAATTAAATGTACAGCTGCGCTATTGTCTTGGTCACAGTGAAAATGGGATTTACTTGAACTTAACGTAGTGCTAGCTTGCAGCTCTTGTGACTTGCGTCTCTCCTCCCCCTCACCCCCTCACCTGGTATGTGACCTATATTTTCCAAATACCTTAAATATTGCGGTGGGTGGTTGGCGGGTGCTCTGGTGTGGTTTGCTCCTTCTTTCCTTTCAAACATTTATCGTCCTTATCTCCCCCTCCTTCTTTTTTGTGTTTGTTAGGCCTACTCTCATGTAACACCTCTAATCTTCGGCACTTGTATGACCTTATTGTGTTGTAAGTGTCGTAAAACTCTTACGAAAACTTAAAAAAACAAAAGCTTAAAATCGTTTGTTTTGTCTTTTGTGTTCAAGTACAATGTGCTGCGAGAAATAATATTTCACCAATAGTTTCTTTCTGTGTGATTAAAAAATAGTTTTTTTTTTTTTTTAAAGCTGTGTACATTGGTTTCGAGTTTTACCTTACTGTTATTTTATGCGTGTCCGTTTGTTAGGGGAAGCTGCCATTTGAATGGAACCTTGAGAATATCATCGATGACTGGATCCTGATGGGCTTCCTGGTGGGCAACGACTTCATCCCTCACCTGCCCCACCTCCACATCCACCACGACGCCTTGCCGCTGCTCTGGAGGACATACATGACCGTTTTACCGCAGCTAGATGGTACGATACTTTGTTGGCAGACTTATGGGGGTTTTTTTGTTTGTTTTTGTCCCATGTCCTGATTTGGTGCGCTTGTTTGTGGGTTACGCAAGAATGTTTGGACATGGTCTCTCTCTCTCTCTCTCTCTCTTCTGGCGCTGTGGCTTCCTAAACGGTCAGCGATGCCGACAGCACGCAGGAACACAACCCTCGCCCGGGGGTGTGCAAATTGTTATGTTTTCTAGAAAAGCGAAACAAGAAAAAGGGGAATTGTTAAGTCTTTGATGATGAAGATGATAAAGATGATGATGATTAGGCAGGCTTGTGTTATACTATGTCCAGGGGGCTTGTTTGGACAAAGATTAAGGATGCTGGTCTTTCTTTTGAAGGTCGTCTATGCGGTTTTCAGTTCATATCAAGTCTTCTCAGGAATGAAAATTTTTAAGGTTTTATGAAAAGGTGTGGGTGGGTGGTTGGCAGGTGCTCTGGTGTGGTTTGCTCCTTCTTTCCTATCAAAAGCTATCATCCTTCTCTCTCCTCCTCCTTTTTTGGTGTTTGTTACTCTCTTGTAACACCTCTAATCTTTGGCACTTATACGACCTTATTGTGTTGCAAGTGCCGTAAAACACTTACTAAAACTAAACACTTGTGTTGTTTGGCTGGTGATTGAACTTGAAGGCAATTTCACTTCTGTTGTAGAAGTTTTGAATTGATTTTATACATTTGTTTAAAAAAAATTATTTTTCCAGGCTACTTGAATGAAGCTGGCCACCTCAACCTGAAGCGTTTTGAGAAGTATTTTGAGGAGTTGTCAAAGGTATACCTATCATTTCTGTAATCGTGATTTTATTTTTATAGTTTGCGTTTTATTAGTAGTAATTCCGTCGTTATGTTGCTTGTTTGTGTGTGTGGGCGTTTTTTTGTGACGGGGG